TTTTTTGTCGAAAGTCATGAGCGATCCGTGACGAATTTATTTGAACCACTGCGGACTAGACTCCATACGGAAGCGATACAAAATGGACTTATCTAAAAAGCGACAAACGTTCACTCCCGAACGACAAGCCAGTCTTAGTGTGGGAGAAAATAAAGCGCCAGGGAGGTATCTTCCTCGACCATCGCTTCAACCTAAACGATATTCAAGTCCACCTGGAACACTGCGTCTGACTGAGGAAGTCGATCAACAAAACCAAACACTAAATCGGTAAGTTGTGAAACCATAAAAGTATTTAAGTGGCTGGTTCGGGTATTTGTTGTTTAATTAACCGTAGGGATTGTTACCGCAACGATACACTGTTTATATTGAGCGTCGGTGCTCATTAGATGCAGTCAGTCTTCTTTTAAAAGTTGGAGATATTAAGATTTGTATGAGTTATTGTTGTACTAATTCTCGTGATACAACCTTAATTCCTGAGGGTGTTAGTATTCGCGCTAACACGGCTCGATATTATTTGTCAGTTGAAAGCCGGAATCAACAGTTCGTATTTGTGTGAGAACAATCATGTTTGGTTTACCATGCTCTCGCATAATTTTGTCACAATACCTATACCGAGATGCCATGAAATTCAGTTCAGTCTGTCTATGATCGGAGGCGACTTCTACTCCACAAAGAAATGTTTACATTTGCTTGATTTAAAGGTGTTATTTTAAGTTTCTATGTGATTGTCTGAAGCTATGACGAAGAGCACTTGTGTTCCAGCCGTGTATCTATTCCGCGCAAATTTTGGCTGGAACCGTGTATAGAATGATCATATAAATATAAAACTTTTCAATTTTCTCCTCTTCACATTCTATTTCTGCATCAAGGAGGTTGTGAAACCCAAAATGATAAAGAAGACGTGTGGCTCATTAACCAGTAAAATTGTGGAACTGATATTGACATTGTTAAGCATCTCTTGTTTACGCATGAATCATCAGTTAGTCTTTGTTGCAGTTAGATTGGAGGTAAAATTTTAACTCGTCCCAGTTATCTCAGTCAGAACCAAAATTTTCTGTGCTGTTGGCTCTAAAGACGTACGTGACGTATTTTGAAAACTACTAGCAACACATGGGTGGGGGGAGTGGGATTGTTTCTGTTTAGATTAGGTTGGCAAGCTACTTCAAATGTTTTATTTACACAATCCTAAACTATCATAAAGTAAAAGATTAAATCAAACAAAACCGTCGGACGAACAAATGAAATCCAAATCAAACCTTACTGTTTTTCTTCTTTTGACCTTCTCAGAAGTTTATTATAATTCAGTGCATGTCTGTAACAAGATACTATCACGCACGTTCATCCATGATCAAAGACGTCATCGCGAGATGCTTTATTTATTAATCTTGTTAAACAAATACGGCCGCGTAAATCAGGACTCATGGTTAAAAAATTCGGAATTCCTTCTAGTCTCCTGATCCTCTTTTTTTTTTAGTTCAAATTTCTTAAAAGAGGCTTAAACTTTCGAACTTATTAACAATTCTTTCATTCAACCGTAAACTTCATTACCCGTTTTGACTTGATCAATTTGTAATCACGTAAAGTTTGCGTCGATAGGTCACGCAAATTTTTTTAGCACAGACACTGGATGAGTTGATGCTTTTTGCTGAAAATAAAAGTTATGAAATTTGTGCTCAAATCTATTCGATATGGGTAAAAGGCTATCATTTTTCGATGTATGAAGCACTCGCATGAAAAAGTGATCCTGAACTGAATGCGTGACAAGATGGAGTGTTTACCCATCACTGAATCTCGTGCAAGAAACGTCTTTTGTCGCTAAACTAAACACATATTATATTTTGTAGAACTCAAAACTTATACCGAAACAAATCAAAGGTTTTTTCGAAATTATTTCTCATTGGTTTTATCATGACGAGGTTTTTTTTTTAAATTCAATCAACCACGGTTTTTATTTCGGCCTTTTTTTTGTTTCTCATTTGTTTTAGTAGAACCCCAATTAACGATAAGGCTAAGAAACATAAAAGTTTTTCTCACCAAAAATTTAATTTAAGAGAGGGGTCATTTATAAAGGTTCATTTCCCGTTCCAATTTTTTTCCATAGCATTTACGACTGGTTCTTATGAATGACAAGAAAAACGTTGATTATGACGTTCAACAGACGTACTCAGGTCTCCTCGACTCGCAATTAAAAAGGGAAATACATACATTAGTGGGTCTTCGTTGGTCACTTAGCAAATTCGCTGTTCTCATCTAGATGGTTATTCGTCTGTTTAAGCCTCAGGAGAGTTTGAAGATTCTTTTTACTCTCATCTATTGTTAACCATACGATTCAGGACTGAAATGCCTAAAATGATTACAAAATTGACCCAATGACATCAGTAAACTGTACAAAAAAGGCACGTTTATCATTTCGCACGTATTAGTGATAGATCATAAAGATGGTTAAATTATCATACTCCATAAAAAAACAAAAACAAAAGATGAATAAATAAATTGAAGAAAACAAAAAAAACAGAAAAAAATCCCCTGTGGCTGAGTTTTAATTTTAAAATAACACGTCATGGATAAATGCAAGACGACTTGCATATCAAAAGTAGTTATTGATGAATCATCGCCTCCATAAAATTTTAATTTTTTAAAGGTCTAAATTTAAGTGTTTTCCTTTTTTTGCACCGTGAGACAATTTTTCTCAGAATTCATTTAATGTCACCTCTGTCATTTTTGTGATCATTAAATTATCAGTCTTGGAAGTTATTTTCGATAGTTTTGCGTGTGCGTGTGTTTGTGATTTATTTGCAGCAGAAGTCAACCTTCTCAAAACGTGTAGCAGCTGATAGTGATGGATTCGAAAAGCTTTTCCGAAACTCTAAGGAATTCGAAAGGAAGATTAGCAGTTACAAACTGAAAAAAAATGTCTTGCGTTAGAGATTTCACCCTGAGCAAAAAATTAGGCTTGATTGTGGTAAAGCAGTATCGACATAAAATACAAACGAAAAAAACTAGATGGTATTCATCTTTTTGCCAGTGCAGATCACTTTCCGGACCGGACACTATTGAAAGTATTGTTTACAAGTTGTAGTTACGTCAACAATAGGCTTTCTTTCAACAGAAAGGCTCGAAAAAATGGATCCTTTTATTTTGTGACATGCGAAATGCCGAAATAACAGCATCATCAAGAAACAAAATTTATTAAGAAAAAAAACTGAAATGACGCTAGAAAAGGAAAAAGTGTTGTACAAAACGACAATTGTCTCGTTTTCGGATGCTTGGAGAGGCAGAAATGCGACAAGGAGCATTTTGCATGTCATTAAAAATCTTGAAATAAATAAATTAACAAAAACCTATCCATCACTAAGGGGTCTCCGGGCAATATTATCATTTGCAATTCAGCTTTTCTAACGAATGTGAAATGTTTTCTCCATAAAGTGAACGTCATCACTGGAAGTGAAAGAATTGGGTTTATTTTAAAAGCCGTCAGTGATACAGAAGCGACTTGTTTAGGGCAATACGTTTTATCATAGTGGGAGGACTCGGAACAGTGCTTGTTGACTTAAACTTGCTCAAGATTTGTTACCTTCTTCAAAGGCAAAGTTAAGTTTCTGCTTATTGGAGTAAATTGTCTCCTGTTGTTTTCGAAGATTCCAAAGAAGGCCAATCGGTAACTTATTAATAATTCAATGGTGTGTGCACATTTCTATTGAAAGGCACCGAAACCTATGCTATTATTGCTAACTGCCTCAATCAACGACTTGTTTACAATTTATACGTATTGCGCATGAAACCTTTCAACGAGTCACGGAAAGCCTACTGCGTATCTGCGTATTAAGTAACGTTGTCTTCATCACAAGCTGACGTTATTAAAACCCTTCTGAAAGCGTTCGGTCGAAAGCGACAGTTTTGTTTGTTTACATTCGTGGATCAGTGCGTTCGTTTGAAACTTTATTTTTGTTGACTGAAGGACGAAGGAATATAAACCGCCGATGTTCAGTTTTAAACCATCTGGCACTTCCGTCAGATAAAGCACCTGTATATTCGTTACCAGCGCTTCATCAAGTGCCAGGTTTGTCATTCGAACGCGTCATATTACATCAACCTATATTTTACCTTCACAAACTTTACACTCATATTCGGCAGGTTGAATTGTACTTTTTAAATCCAGTCTTAACTAGGAAAACTGTGGTAATCCTGCCATCATCGCGTGTGTTGGGGAAATAACCCGATATCGCGTGTGTTTGGAATTTCATTCAAATGCTTCTAACGAAGACTCCGTCTGGCACCGTTTAGCATTCGATTTTAATGATTAGTTTGCAGTTGCGACGTTTACTTCAGAAAAGAACCGTTCCGCTTGTTTAAACGTCAAACCGAGGATCTCTGATTTTACGAGTTTTGGTTCGATGGTTATACATTTATATTGAATTTTGGTGGACTTATCTCACAGTATGGTCACAAGGACAAGAGCTTTTACTTTCACCTACAGGTAAATAATCTCCGAATGCTGTTTTTAAATATTTTTTGCTATTGGAGGCGGGATTTTGATTTCTTCTTAAACATAATTGTCACTTGTTCACCGCCAAGATATTTCTCTCTTCGACTAAATTTTACAAGACTCAGCTTAAACAGATATTGTAGACAAAAGAACCGAATTTAGACGGTGAAGCCGTTTGTTGCGCATGTTTTGCTTCGGTGTTAATATTAACACACAACTTAACTTTTTCCATAATTTCACGTTCTTTTCATTACACTGTGATACTTGTTTTTGGTTATTTCGAGTCGTAACTCAGTTTTTTACATTTCAAACTCAATATTTATTTTGTTATGCGAAATTGCCCCTTTTTCTCCGTAGTAAATTCAATTTGTAGTCATTTTGTAAAGATATGTTAATATGCAAAAGATGCAGTTGTCTTTAAATGTATTAATTTTCCCTACAAATTTTATCGCGAGTACGTCAGTGCTAAAAGGGGTCATGACATGACAGATTTGCGAAAACCTTTCTCATAGGAGGAAGTTTAGGCAATGTGAAAGAGCAAGGGAATTAACACGACATCAATTTTTTTTTAAGCCTCTCTCGAAAGTGATAATAGATAGAGTTCTGCACTGGTGTTTCAAGTCATTATTGTTCAAATTAATGTATATTTTTTATGACGGTGCATTATTTTGATTTACTCGTAAGACGTGGTACAAAGTTGTGTGCGCATGTTTTTTAATTTTATTTTAGGGGATATACGAGATCCCCATATTCTAATGTATCCAGTTAACAATCGAGGACTGAATTTTTGTTGCAAGAGAGTTATGTTTTTGTCATATGTTGAGTCACGTCTTCCTTAAGTCTATTTTATTTATGTTATTCTGATTTTCATTTTGAAATGCAGTGATTTAAGGGAATAGATCTTAAAACTAAATTAACATAGCTGGATGGAGCTGGTCCAATGTCTGAGAAATATATTTGTTTGTGAGTTGTTTGCATTAGCTGACACTAGAATTGATCAAAAAACAAAACTGAATGCAACAAAAAACAACTCTAGTTACTTCAGGGGTATATTTCAGACATTTTATGTGCTGGTTTATAGTAAAACAATGTTTTGGCCATGAAAGGTCTTAAGAAGTTTGGCAAAGTATTTTTGAGTTGCTTGGAAAACTAGTTAAGTATTTATGATTTCCATACTCCAAATGGCAATAATCCTTTGTTGCACAAAGGATGCTTGACAATACCACAAGAATGCAATTTTGGTTGAATTTTGGTAACAAAATGTACATTTACCTTTTGATCATTTGTATGCTCTTCCCTGAAATTTTTAGGCATAATATTCATTTCTTTCATTAGTGGCTGATAATGCTCTAGACTTAAACAAAGTTGACCAATTTAGACAGATTAAATTTGTAATTTTATTTTTTAAATAAGAAAGATAAACAATCTTGCAAGAGAAAAGATGCTCCATTATATCTTTCCATTTACAAAAAATTACCCTAATGTTTCTTCAGCTTCAGTATTTTCAATTACCTTTAAGAACAAATAAATTTGATTCAATTCAGAGTTTGTAGCATAGTAATTAAAATAATGGTTACATCAATAGCTATAGTGACGATAATAATACCTAATATAATCGCTGGTTTGGTAGCTTACATTGTTTTTTCTTTTTTTAATCAATTTGTTTTCCTAACAATTTTAATTTGTTTAGCTGGCTAATGATACTGGGCAGCATTAACATCTAAATGGAACCTTTAAATGGAATATTTAATTGTAAAAACTCACAGACCAACTTGCCACTTTGACACTTTGACACTTTGCTCTCCTGTTACTAGTGCTCCTTCTCCTGATATTGGTCGAAGATCTGGTTTGAGCCGAAAACACTATTATGGCTCACTGGAAGCTGTAAGTATACAACAATTTACATTCAGACGATGGTATTTAGTAATATATAGATTTAGTAAAGCCTAAAAGCAGAGCTCACATTTTTTTCCCACACGTCTCATCAACAAAACTACAAAAAAAACAAAACTATTAATGGATTTTCATTTGCAACTTCTCTGTGTCCATGTAGAGAACTGATTCTTTTATAGATGCTATAGGGTTAAATTTTTAAGTCATTAGGCAATTTTGGGGGGTCTCCATAAAAAAGCTTACAATAAGAGGCTGAAAATTTTCAAAAACAGGAAAGAAAATTGTGCAAACCGTTAAAAAGTTTTCCCAACAATATGCAACAAGAAAATGTAAATTAATCTTGAACCCAGAGTCTCCTTAGCTGAGTGTTGTGCACACGTTATGCTCAAACATCTGAAAAAGAGTAGAGCTATGGCATTGATGTGCCCGCAGTACAGTTAGCAGCGCATGCTAAAGGTAGCACCTTGTGGTGCAGTTGGTCGTACGGTCGTAGGGTCGTATGCTCTTAAGTCCAATTTTCTTGGCTTGATGGGTTTCTACTATTTCATATGATTATGGGGCTACACTGCGCACGCTGTGAGCTCCTCTATTATTTTAGTTAGTTGTCATAAAACTTAGTTCTTGCAGTTCTCTTGTCCCAGTGCTAGGATAGTTGAAGATGTTTTTCAGTCATTCAAGTACATAGAAGTAACCGACCTTACAGTTGAGCTGTATTCATCGCCAATTTCTCATCTGTTTTATTTTGCTTTATACAGATTAACAGTGTGCATCAAAGTGGAAGTGACTTGAGTGACAATGCAGGGCGGTTCAGAATGGAGAGTGGTGAAATTGGCATGCAGCCATCAGTGCCACAGGTAGGTGTCAAAAATTGAGTAATACTGTAGTTTATTTAAAAAAAAACAAAAGAAACAATCTGAGAGGTATGTCTATTCAAGCACAATGCAAGGAATGTAAGGAGGTAGTCAACCACTTTCAAGCCAATTATATTGTTCCTTAGATTAAGAATACTCAGCTGTTTTTCTATGAGTATCCTGCAGCATTTTAACCTATTCTATCACGTTCCTGTTGTTAAGAATGGATTAGCTACAAGGCAAGGAAGTGGGGTACACCTTGAGAATCCTGAGTTCCAAACAAGATGGTACTTCAAGTATTTTCTGGGAAAAGGTAACTTTTTACTTTTCCACAGATCTCTTTCAATTTGGTTTACTTTTTTGTATTTAACAAATAATCCTTTAATGTATACAAGGTAAGAGATCATGTTAAAAACCATATTTTTTAAAACAGACCCGACATTTTGTAAATTTAGTCACAAAAAAACTATTTTAAAGTAACTTCTAACAGTTCATATTAGCTTTCCGAGGACTTCTTTGGATTGATTGGTTGTATAGTGGTATTGTAACAGGTTTTAGCAGAGTACAGTTCTGATCTCTTTGTTGTATTTATATTATTCCAATCTTAATAGTTCATCAGAATTTTGTTGGCATCGATGGAAGCAAGAGTCCTTTTGTTCTATCTGTTTGCCTGACAGATTCAGATAACTATGGTGTTCCACAATACCGAGCCATTCTTTGGAGGAAAACAGTAAGCTTTGTAGTTTGCTTTGGTGTGAGAGGAATTCTTGACTTGTACAATTTGATATTAACAATGAATTCTAGCCTTTTTTTTGTTTTCTCGTTTGCTTGATTCTGTAACTCATTTTAATGTTAAGGAAAGCAAAGGGATCCCGTTGTTTGTTTATTAAACTAAAGGTCTTTGAGATGTTATATGCAAAACTGAATGCTTTTCCTATTAGTTAATTTGTCAGAAATTATAAAAGTTACATGAAATAATGAGCAAACAGTTGGTTATGCCTCAGTACAAGGACTTCAAGTGTAATGACCTTTAATTGGGTCTTGCTCTGAATTTGTTTATTTTTTGTATACTAGTAGTTTTTTCTTACAACAAAAATGAAAACACATTTTAACTTTGGTTTTAGGGTGGTCAGAAGCTGTGCATTCCATACCAGCCAAACAAACCGATTTCTCCAAAGACTGTACTACAGTAAGTACCATTTCTTACTCAAAGATCAAAAGGATGATGATACTAAGACAAAGAGATTTCAGTACAAGTGTGTTATGCAAAAGACATAAAACCCAATTATTATGAAAAATTAGTGAACACCCTGAGAGAAACTTTGACAGAAAGGAAGAAAATGCAAATCTTATCTTATCATGTTCAAATTATTTCTAGAACACTGAACGAAAGGGAAGAAGTTGAGACTGGTTTATTACTGAAAGCATGCGATATTATTGGGCATTTTTAAATGTTACGGGTTTTTGAAACACTAAAGGTTTCAGAGACATGATACTTGTAACTTATATGTTGTCTGCCTAGCTGTTGATTTTCTCTCTCACAGCGTTATTTTCCTGCTCAACCTCACGCAACATTTACGTAGATGGTAAGAGTCGGTCAATTATCATAAATTTTTCTTTTTCTGTGTCTGTTAGAGCGTATGGAGTTGACAAGTTTGACAAAGGTCCCAGAGAGGTGCTAAACCGTGAATTGCAAAAGGTTAGGCTCATAGGTTCGAGTAGTTATTAGTAGTCTAGGTTTTAAGCCAATTACTTCAACCAGAAGAATACAACTTAAATATGCTTATTACCAAAACTATAACAGAATTCTCGAACGTGATTGGTTATCATCATCCCGATTTGAGCACTAATAGGTTAGTGTATGCGTCATGCTTGTAATTGGACAGTGTAATAGGACAATTAAAGGGACAGTTAACCGTCATACCTGTGTAAGTGAATAGAACGCGTCATGTGCGCGCTGTTGTCGTGCATTTCGTTTTTTTTTTATGAAAATGTATAACCGATCTAGTTTCTTTCCCAAATTTTGTCATAGTTTTGATTGATTGGTAACAGGACTTCGTGTCGTTCAATTCTATCCGTAATCATACTCGTGATTAACAAATCGGACTCCCGCTTCCCGGTCGTCCGATTTTGTTAATCACTCGTATGATTATAGACCGAATTGGACTCCACTCGGTTCTATTACCATTATTAATTGTACTGAGAACATAGCTAATAAGGATTTCATAACAGTATATGCGTCTTGTGGTGCAAGTTTTTTTAAAATTTTCATTAGCAGCTGCATCAAACTTTTCCACCCTTTAGAATGCTTTTTTCTTTTTGTTTCTAGTTGCCTTTTGGCAGGTCTAATTTTCTACGTCACAAAAAAATGACTCAGTCGAAACTATCGGGAAAGCCCTCTGTTAATGAAACAAGGTTTACAATACTTTCGTTCACGCTCTTAAATTCTACATAATCATCGTAAGAGTAAAGAGAAGGTGGGCCACGATTACCTTCATTCCACAATTTGGCATAGAAACTGAAGCCTCGTTCACATTACACCGATGATATTGACAGGAGGATTTTCAGTTTTCTTAAGGCCTATTTACACGGCACGACTTTGTCGCATGCGACAAGCTTACGACAGGCCTACGACATGACTTAAAAGTCGTAAGCGAGTTGTATGATTAGACAATTCGTGTCGTAAGCCTGTCGTAAGCTTGTCGCATGCGACAAAGTCGTACCGTGTAAATAGGCCCTTATGGAGACAGCTCTCGTTCGTTAGGCGAGAAAAATATCTCAGCCCAGTCCCCTGTTCTGTAGTAGAATGTCCCCTCTCACATACTTTGCCAACACACACGTTGCTTATTTGTGTTCTTTTTTCTATTATTCTGTAGGAATTGCTGGTTTTGGAAGAACAGGAGGTAAAGCAAGTTGTACATTGTGTTGTGAGTTCATTCTAAATTTCCAATTTGGGTTGTATAGCAACATCACTCAGTAAAGCGTATTGAGACTTTTATGCCATTTTTTCTGCAGGGATCCGTAAACTTTAAGTTTGGAGTTCTGTATGCAAAACAGGGACAAACAACTGATGATGAAATGTTTAGTAATGGTAAATATTCTCGCTAGTCACTGTAACTATACAGTTGTTTGCCTTTGTCTTGATAGTACTAATTTTCTGTTAAGGATGTATCGGAGCGATTTTTTCAGACTAAGGTTCTCCTAATGTCCAGTTTACTTTGAAAAGTGTTCTGTTGTTCATTCCACGAAAACGTATACTGAGTAGAATTTCCGCACGCTCGTAATGAAGTAGCGTTGAATTCCTGACATACCCGAGTGCTGTGTTTGGAAACCGCGATGGTGGTCAATTCCTATCAGCGTGAGAGCTTAGTGTTCTACATGGAGGCTATTGAACACCTCAAAGATAATGTGTTTCGCCCAAGTCAGCTCTCCCAAGAGACATTTGTTGGGTTATATGTTATAAAGAGAGTTAATAACTGTTTGTATGGAACATTCTACAAGTATCCATTCAGTGCATTTTATGTCTCACCCAAGTACTGAACCTTTTGCAGTGAAGGTCAGCGAAGATTTCGAGCGTTTCCTAGAACTGCTGGGTGACAAGATAGAACTCAAGGGCTGGCAAAAGTATCGTGGGGGACTCGACGTCAAAAGTAGGTCTGATAAATTTAGAAGGTTTTCGTTTTCGTAGCTTACTTAAACAGGCCACTCGGGCAAAAGACCATATGAAGGTTTTCATATCGTGATAACACAAACCGTCCGCACACTTTGCGCTCCGACAACCTGCAAAAGTGCAAAAATAGTAGAAAAACAACCCTTTGTTGTTATCAGTTTCCTTTTTTGTTTTTGTTTTGTTTTTGTTATTTTTTCTTAACTGGTACTGCCCCCGTTTAAACATCACTTCTCAACCAAAAAAAATTTCATTGTTCGTACTTTTGATTTATACAAGGAGGAAGCTATTGCTCTTTGTAGTTCTAGTTTCCTATTGGCTGCCATCATCAGGATGGCTCCGATCACGATAAATGGAATGTAAATGCGTTTGGCTTTTTTTTCCCCGGAATGCTGCTGAAAATCATGCCGGGCCACCACAGACAGCCTGAAAACTTTCCTCTCATTACCATGAATGCAATTTGGCCGGGACCTATTTTTACTTCTGAGTCATCGAAACATTTTGAGAATGGAGTAAATCACCCTAGAACTCATCAAAATTACCGTGGCCAAGTGTTGAACGTTGGTACCGCCAATTCATGGTTACGGCATTGGATTACTCGCTCCAACAGTTAGTTGCACTATATATATTAAGTGTTACTATTTCTTCAGTGTCTCAAGTTGAAAGCTCCACCTCTTTTGGATTTCGAGTTTCTTATTTCTATTTCCTTTTCCTTTTTTTCCTTTTTTTTTCGCTGTAGACAACATGACTGGCTTCCAGTCTCTTTACACAATTTACGAAGGACATGAAATTATGTTCCACGTGTCCACTTTGCTGCCCTTCACACCTGACAATCCACAACAGGTTAGCAATTCATTAGAATTCAGTTAATCTTCATGATGGTTAAGAATAAAACTCACCGCAGCATTTCCTTGAATCTTACATTCATCTTTATAAACAGCTTTTTTATTAGGCTTTGAAAGTTTGTTTAATGCTTCTATTTTAAGGGTGGAAGGAGAAAATTGGAAAACATTCCAAAAGTGGAGGCCCACCTATATTTGATGAGTAAGCCTTTGGTCGCTATCGGCGGATTGGTGCCTTCAGCGGCGCGATGTTAAGCCAGCACAGACGTGTAAATTGAATGAAGTTTTTTTTCCTACCATTTCAGGTGGAGCGCAAACGTCATATAGGAAATGACATTGTTATTATTGTCTTCCAAGACTGGGATGGGAAGTCTTCGTTTAGTCCTCCAGCTATAAAATCCAAGTTTGTTCGTATCCTTTATTGATAACTAGGGAATGGTCATGATGTGTGAACTAACTCGAATCAATTACCTTCTCTTCTCCCGAAAGAAGACTATATTGGACTCGCTGTTGTGGTTGTAAGGCTTAACATACAACTGTTGAGACCCTTAACCTTCTTTAAGACATATACGCTCTTGTTTCTTTCAACAAATCGGACAACAGCTATCGGTAAGGTCTCCGGCTCCTTAGTTTTGATTTAGCTTTGTGAGCTACTTATAAGTCCATACGGAAATGGGAAACGAGATAATGTGTTGTTCTCTGTTTGACAGGTTGACAGTGTTCTCTGAAAAGAATGTGCCAATCTTCGGCCCACCATTACCATGCCCACCGGTTTTCAGTAATCACCAGGAATTCAGAGACTTCCTTCTGGTCAAATGTAAGAGCGTCTTGTTTTTTTCAAAACGCTGGTAACATTCCTCTCGGTTCTCCGGTCATTGAACTTTGTTCCTCTCTCTGTTTCCAGTAATGAATGGGGAGAAAGCCGCCTACGGATCACCTACGTTTAGTAACAGGCGTCAGCGAACACTGGACAGCCTTATAACTAGGCTTCTCCAAGACCACATCCATGAGGTATATCTGGATTTCCTTTAAAAGAAGATTTCTAAGTAAGAGACAGAGGGATGAGCTTCAATGGAGACGTCGGACAATTGTCCAATAACTAAGGACATACAAGCGAGAAAGTAACATGTATTTGGTAGTTCGGGGGAAGGCTTTAAACGTCCAACAGTAAATATCCTGATAAACTGCTTTTCCGCTTATTAACAAGTATGTTTAGCTGAAAGAATCGACGTAACGTTTATATCGTAATAGGCATGATATTTTTCAAGGAAGCTTGCTGATGATAACTTGAAAATATCTTAAATGTTTTTCTGACCTCTGATTTCTTCTGAATGTAGAAACTTGGCGCCCGTAAATCGTGGAATGACGTTATCACGGACCAATCTCGAGGCAATCGGCGGAAAGGAATGGAAAGAGAGCAAGCTTTTCTTCAGTTCGGCCAGGTGAAAGAACTCGTGTTTGCAAATTATCAGATTACGTAAAATCTAATAAATCTGATGTTTTAAATACATCTCAATGTTAAATACCAAAGTTATATTGAGTCTCATGTTTTCTTTTTCATTTCCTATAACTCACTAAGGATCAACTGATAATGAAACTGATAACAAACCGATGAAAGACGTCTTGACAAGAATATGCTTTCGTTTCTTTCCAGTCGTTAAAACTGAACAAAATAGTGAAAGGCGATGCACCAACAAGTCTAGCGAGTACGTCAGGGAACTTGAAAGTTGAGGTATACTGATAACTTTTTAAGTGATTCAGTTTGAAAATAAATCGGGCTTATTTCTAGTTCATTCTTGATTACAGCTGTTGTTTTTACTCTTTCTTTCTTGTTCATAGCCGTGGAAGCCTCAGTGTATTTTGGAGGACTTTTCAACAAAGATATTTTGCGGGGATTCTTGGGGTAAGGTGATGGTCAGTCAAGTGAAATTCAGCAGTACACAATAAGGGTATTGGTCTCCTGTGCACTACGGTGTAGCTGGAGATTATGTCGTTCACTGAATATTTATTCAATTGAAAAGGTTTGTTCGCGACTTCATTTGTCGTTGTGCCGTATAACGTCAGGGAAATCGTTAAAATCGCCGAAACCTTCTTCAAATAGGTGTACTACAAATATTCCTCCATGGCAAGAACTTTGACGCACGCCGGTGCGAACTAAAATCGCCTCTCCCTGCCCCTGCCCGAGATGACAGGTTACCCATGCCCCCTCTGTCCTCTGTGTTCATTCTCGTGGAAACTCGGCCTAGGTCACTTAGAGAGGCTCGCTTAATACTTTTCCATTTTATCTTGGAGTTTGTACTAAAGAAGAGACATGAACTGGCTCAGCAGATGTACGTGATGAATTATTCCTCTTGTCCCTTTTGCATTCTTGTTTCCCCGCCGGGTTCATAGAAATTTTTGGACTCACTTTATACATTTTGAACGACTTTGGCTTTCATTTACAGGCGATAGTTTAGTTCTGGGAACAGAGGATGGCATTCAAATGCTTCAAGGTAATAATAACACGTTACATATTTATTACATATATACTGATGTCGCTTTGTACTTAACCTCGGTTTTGCTGTGCCTGAAGTTGCAATCAGTGGGAATTCTGAACAGGAATCGAACCCTCAAACTTCTGGGTAGTGGACTTAAAGTTTGAAATTTTGTACTCTTATTATATATTTCAGTCTAGTTTTGTTGCCCACGCTTAAGAATGGTTCCATACGAGTTACTGACTAGATTTGTTTTCCTTCATTCCGTGATGCGCAATCGATCTGCATGGGTAACTTTTCCTTTCTGTTGGTATTTTCTGTATCTTTTGTCAAAAACTTCTGAAGTTATGTTGGTTTTCTATTTCAGGAGCAAAAAGGCGCTATATATTTGATAAATCAGTGGTTGCGAAACAAATCAACGTAGTGGAAGCTTTTGGGCTTCTTCTTTTTCGAGTGGACAAAGGTAAAGAGTTCCACTCCTCCAAGTTGTACGTCTTTAAACTGACAGACTTCGAAGACGAAGATGAAGAACCAAAGAACCGGCAATTTTGCAAAAATCACAGAGTCGAGAAAAGCAAAGGTAAGCTTAGATCACAGAGGGAATCTCTCGAACCCAAAGGTAGAGAACATCTCAAGGAAATCTTCACGTAGTCATTCTGTAACCATTTCTTATTTTTCCGTGTCATGCCTCTATTCATCGCTCTTACCTTTTAACATCTGTTGCTGTAGGCAACTTTCGCTAAGGAAAAAACCTTTTTATGTTCGTTTCTAAAACTTTTTGACGGCATATTTAGGATGCCATTTGTTCGCCGTGAGTCAGTCGGGTGATGGTGAACTGAAGCTTGCAGTGGCTGTTGGGAGGAAAGTAGCGCTATTACGCTGGAAGCATCCTGTGGTGTGGAGCACTTGGACTGTAGGAAACATCAAAGATGTGGCGGATGGATTTGAGATCATCAAGGTATCATTTAAACTATTTCAACTGGGAATACTTGTCCAGTGTGGCTGGGACAGAGTTTAACCCTCCCCTCCCCCTTCTATTGTTTCTTTCTTCCTCTTCGCCCACCTGGAGTTCGTAGCCTAACTCTTCTTCTTCTCAGTCTGAAGCTAATCACGGCGGTCATGAAAGGATCCGAGAGTCCTTGCGTGACGATGCAAATATCTTTAACGAAATATTCTACTCACTGCTTCTCGAAATACTCGTCTTACTTTTTGTGCAGGAAGTGACAGTTGGTGAAGCGCCGATTTTAATGACGTTGGTTTACACAAGTTCTCATGAAAGTCGTGTTTGTGTTGGTTACAAGAATCAGTTTGATCTCATCAGTGAAGCAGGAGACGTGTTCAAAATACACAGTATTGACAAACAAAAGGTAACGTGACTACTGTCAAAATCAGAAAGTTACAATAATGTGGATATTTAAGCTTATCCTAACTGAATTGTAAGTACCTTTGAAATGTTAATCTAAAACTGAACCACGGGAAGTGTGATGTCATTTTTCTCATGACGCTTTTTTTCTTTTGACTTCGGTCAGGATTGCATCATTAATCGTTATCATTCACTTTGTGGCACAGAGCCGCAATTCCGGAGAGATTAATTAGGAGTCGAGGAAGCAGCGCAGTCGCTGTTAACTTTCGGTCCAGGTCTCTACCTGAGCACTCACCTGACCGGTAGTTTCCATCAATTTAACCCCTTGACTCTGCAAAAATAGCTAACTTTTCTGCCCATCGGCTATGAGGTTTTAATATTGTGTATTGTCTTGGCAGAAGGCCACTCTTGTCTCGGCAGTAGACGTGTACGAAGAAGAGGTGTCAGAGTTACTTATTTCCTATAATCGTAAGTCAACTGAAGACCAAACCGTACAGTGATATCTTTAAGGCTTGTACCGGGTAGAAGAAACGAGAAGTTTACATAAGTATTAAGTGTTCTTCTCAAAGTTGAGAGGAGAAGGGAAATACAGTCAGCTTAAAATGGAAAGGAGAATAAATGATTTCGAGTAAAACCCAAGAGGAGGGACTTACAATAAATTTCTCTCCCTTGTACTCTTGAACACGAGTCACCAACGTTACCACGAAATCGTGTTATTGGCTGAGCGTGTATTGCTCTGTGGAGTCTTAGCTTTCATTCATTGTCATTTACTTATCTATGATCTAACCGAGAGATTTTTTCCAACAGACCAGTCAATATTTAAAAGGCTGACAGGAGAGCAATCCTCCAACTTTTCATTCCAATGGAACTCGGCTCCAAACTCAGTTGGTAAGTAATTGTTGCTTATTTGCTATTATTTTCATAAGTCGCGTTTGTCGTAAACGGTAAAACTTTTCAATGAGGAGTGTTCTTTCTACAGTGGAAGTTGTATTTTACTGACCTTCATATGTTTTTTTCTTTTTCATAAAGCTCTGTATTTGTAAACAATGACACGCTAGATCCAAGGCCATTGTATTTTTTATTGGACAACGCAACGCATACTTAGGGCGCCCCTCTCCACTAGCGAATGCGCATAGTTACCTACAATAATTAGTCAGGAAAAAAAAACTTGAAGATACTGTGTTTAAACCAGTAGAATTCGCTTCATACTACGGCCACAGGATTAATACTGTAGGGCCGTATGTCTCCCAGGGGTTTCAATAAAAGCCGGTTACCAGCGGTCTACCAACGCCTTTAACCCTTCAACTCCCAAGATCTAATTGTTAATTCTCCCCTTTAGCAGCAAACACTTTTTCTGTGAATTAGTTTTGAGAATTTGGTATTACATCAGGGTAACAACTTCTACCTGATAAGTTTTAGTATTCTCGTTACCTATTTGCTGGATAATGTACAGATATTAAAGGGAAAGTTACATGTTGGTGACTTCTGGGAGTTGAAGGCTTAATAACTCTCACCGCCGTCTGTTTAGCCCTCGAGCAGGCTCTCGGTCGTGTTTGGGTTCCGCCCTCCGGCTCCTTTACCGAGCACAGCCTCCCATTACACCATCACTTAGCAGCCGCTCATGGATAAAGTTATTGAAACCCCTGTCTCCGTGGACCAAAACGTTCTGGTCTCTTTCACAGTCGACTTCGGCTTATCTTACTGTCCTTTGACAACACGAAAAAGTCGTGCTGGCTTCCTAATAAAAGAATGAACCCCATCGATATTTGTGTGATCGAATGCGTCTAACTTTTTTCCTCTCTGCCCTTTATTTTAGTGTGCGCATTTCCTTATTTGCTGGCTTTCACAACGAACACCATAGAAATTCGTCTTGTCGTCAACGCAAACTTGGTGCATACGCTCGTGTTACCCAAAGTCTCCCTAATTTCAGCAAAGGTAAGAATCTGCGTCGGTATGTATATGCTCAATAGGAAGAACAAGCAGTGCTATGTATGGAAGATTCGTTTAGTAACGGGGTTATCAACACTAACAAGTTCTTTTGCTTAATTCCTATACGACCTTCTCTGACCGCATAAACTCATGTAATGCCTTAGAACACTCTACCTTTGTTTCTTACACATGATCAGGCGGACATATACTTCAGCGCGTCGCCACCCAAATCATCGAACTCATCAACTCAAGCAATCGGAGGCGTTCAAACCCAGTCGTCTCCCAGCAACACTCAAGAAAAAACTTCGTTGTACAAGATATCAACAATTTCCCTGATGGGACAGTTTCTTGATCCTCCTCTTACGCGCAAAGCAACGGATGATGTTACCATGGCACCAAGTGTTGTTCTCAACTCAAATAACGAGGAAATCTCTATAACAAGGCAGTGCAGTGATTATTCCCTTGAATCACGGGATACTATTGACAAGGATTTTCCCATAAAAGAACCCGTGGGTAGAACAGCCTCGTGTCCACAGTCACGAAAAGTTTCGGACCCCTCAGATCCGCGGGGTGCCGTGAAATATTCGACGAGTAGCATTACATGGACAACAGTGTGAGAGTTGTTCCGGTTTTAATAGAATAGAAGATTTATAGAAACATGAGGATCACCCCCCCTTTCCCCTCCCGTCCCTCTCCGAGTCAAAAATCTCAACCCCTTAAGAAAGCATCCACCAAGCTTTATCCTTTGTCGAAGCGCTGTGAAGCGCCTTGATCAAATCAAATGTTAAAATGTTCTCAGAGGAAATGTCCAATGCATTACGAAAAAAATGTCAAATTTTAGGTCAGATACTAGCAGCACTGGTACGTATTTTAAGTTTTCCCAGAATGAATATGAATTATTACGTGGATTATTGTGAACTGTCATATGAACAGCGCGAAAATAGTCCAAACATTCCGAGTTTTAGTCCTTTTCCATGGTATCGGCAATGGTTTTCATCAAGCAGTAATAGGTTCTTAATATTAAACACAGATTTTCTCTAGCATTTCCTTTAGACTCTCTCATAAGACACCCTTGCCGCAAATATGGTTGTTATAATACCTTGTATATGGTTACAGATCATCATTACTGGTAGTTTAATTTCGAACAGTCAATACTCTCCGTGTCTGTAGACCATACTTGTTGCAGTCCTTGCCCGTTTGTTCTACGGGTAGAATAATCAATCATTCCTCCCCATCCCTCTCTCAAGAAAGATAAAATTAGTTTTTGAGTTTTTCCAGTCGAAAGTCACTCCATGAGTGATTTAACAGTGTAATAACGTTACCTACCTTATGAACATCCAGAGGCCAGCAGTGTTTGGCGATCGTTTTTTTATAGTGTATAAGATTCATGATAACAATTGCAGTAAGACTTGCTTTTGGAACCCAGCTGAATCAACTAAAATGTGACCACCTAAACTTCTCTTCATTACCGGAACTTTTCGTAAAGGTGAAAAGATTGTGGTCGTAACGCTGGGTTTTGTCGTAGTGAGTGTTTTCAAACAGTGCTTTCAGTTTACTAGTGTTGTATATGAGGCATAATTCTTCCATAAGTTGTGAAAACACTGATTTTAAAGGAACAAGATATTTATTAGTAAAAAATTTTATTTAAAATGTATTTTCTATGAAACGAGTGTTTGCCTTGATGTTGTACGTACGTTAGCCGACACTATTCTAATCTGAGAGAATTGTTTTATTGTAATCGAAAGAAGTCACTAAATAGAAGTTATATTGAAGATTAGAATTAAAAAAAGCTATTATAGAAAGCTCAAGTGTGTGGTTTTATAAGCAGATTATTGCAAGCACCTAAGTGTAAACATGTTAGAAACATGCGAGGAGCAATCCGTGAATCGATCATGAGAATGGGTGTAAACAATCGTTAATGAGAATGTGTGTAAACATGCGAGAAGCAATTCGTGAATCATTAATGAGAATGCGTGTTTCCCATCCATTTCTAATTATACAACGGCTGGCTGTTCAAAGCCTCTCGATCTTTCAGTTTCACGAAATGAGCCGTACCTTAGGTGGTATGTATGTCCTGTGCATGTGTATGACTTTGAAAAGACCATGTTTCATGTACTAAACTTTTGCGTTAAGCTTTGTTATTGTTGTTATTATTATTAATGTTATTTTTATCATTATTATTATTATTAGTCATTTATTTTGTTTTTTTGAACTAGCAAATTTTACTCTTTGCTTCCTGATTATTACAAACTGCATTTGGGTATTAAACCTAAAGATGATTTTCAATTTTCTCTCAGTCTGTGCTAAGCTCCCCTCTCGTCACTGTAGGCCTCAATGCAGACGATCGTAAAATATGACGAGCGAAAATGGACGATGTGCACCCTGACCTTCGCCGCCCTTCTCTCGCCCGCTTTTCGATCGTCTCTACCAAGGAGAGCAATGACTGGAGTGGCCAAATAGATAATAATAACCACCCAACAATCAAGACGAAACCATTTGTAGTTGAATTACAGGCTTCCTGGCCTTGACAAAGAGACCTGCTGAATGAACCAGCAAACAACTTAAACGGGCTTTTCGAAATGGTGATCAGAAACCTTTTCAATCGTTCGCTTCTTACCCTACTCATGGTTAGACTTTCTCATCAAACCGCCTCCTTTTGTCCTTTACCAAATACTTCACTGGATACCAGGGATTCGGGTGCTTGGTAGCCAGGCCAGGTAATGTATTCCACGTGTGTTAGCTTGTTTGCACGCTTGTTAGAGCCGCAAGTTAGCTTCGGTCGATTTATTTTCACAAGCCAGGTAGGTGACCTCTGAACTTCTTTCCGTTACTAAATGACGGGAACATAATATCAAAGTGTTAAGTCGTGTTAGCAACAGCAAATGAACAAGTTATTGATGCTGTGTCGTGTAAATGCGGACAAACTGATTTGTTTGAATCTCTTCTTAGTGCTTTCGAAATTTGTAAGTTTGTTTTGTTTTACACTTTTAGGATGAGTAGCTCAGAAGAATTGTCACAGTATGAGGAAACATCAACTAAAACTTCCAAATCTTTGCAACATAGTGATATATCGGTGATTCCACGAGATATGTACGGTTTGTATGGAGTGCATGTGAGCAATCTTCCCTCGGACATCTCTGAGAAACTTCTCCTCAAGACGTTCTCTTCTGTTGGTAAAGTAGCTGTTTGTAAAGTTATGGATCCAAAGACGCGTCCGGGAAGTCCTTTTCCTACTTACGCATTTGTCAAATTTCCAAGCAGAGAAGAAGCCTTTGATGCATTGTCAAAGTTTAATGGTTACACACTCAATGATAGCATCTTGGCTGTCAGACCTGCTTATATTTCCGAAAGAATTAAAAAGTTTCAACCACAGAAACATCGCCGCACGGACAGGATTTCTAACAAAAGCGAAATTAATGGAAATGCTGATAGAGAGAAAGAAACTCCGAAATCTTATGTGATGAATTCGTCTGACTGCCGATTGAGGGATGGCAGGCTGCAAGAAGGTGATTTTATTGTATATAATGGAACTTCCATTAAATCGTCTCCAACGAAGGGATATACCGGACAAGAAGTGGCTCCGCGGTTTAGAAAAAGTTCCTCACTCGATGATGCTTTAGATAACTCAGAAAAATTTCAAGTCGTTTCACCAGAGGTACCATCTAATTCAGCAATTCAAGCACACCAAAAATCAAATGATGATCGATCAGGAATTTCTGTTGAACAAACATCAGACAACACTGACAGCTGTTCAAACACATCTTCATCAGCATTTCATTTATATCAAGGGTCATCGGGAGTGCAAAAGCGTTTACAAACCACTGGTAACGTTCAACATCATAGACCAGTGAAGAATGGATTTACACAAATGAACTCAGATCTTTCACATCTGCGACTTTCTCCCTCAAGTCATTGTAGTTCAGAAAATTACCATCAGGGAGGTGAAGCTTTGTCAAGGAGGGATGATGTACACCAAGGTGCACCTGTTTGGATTCCATCTCCACCTGGAAATATTGGAGTTACTTTCTCCAGCAATAGAAACAAGCCAGCTAATAGCCCAAGGAGGAGCTGCCTATCGAGTTCCAGTGTAGCTACCTGGAGCACTACAGATGTGGTGCAATTCTTTTGTAATACTGACTGTGCTGAGTATGCAGGATTCTTTCAAGAGCAGGAGATTGACGGCAGGGCTTTGATGTTGTTAAATCGCGATACATTGTTGCAGTTTTTTAAAGTTGGACCGACACTTAAAATTCTACAGCAGATAGATGAGTTGAGATCAAAAGGTTAATCACTTGTCACTTGTGTGAAAAATTTTGTGGCTTCCCTTGGACAATTTGGATTTGTTTTTCTAACTTCCTACTGAAGACCAATCTGGTTGTGGATGCAGTTTTATTGATCCTGTTAAACTGCTGACAAGATGGGGTCTCTACAGTGTTCAATACACAAGACTTGGAAAGTCATGAAATTTTGCGGCCTCATTTTCCAGGCCTGACAAGAACCAGAATTAGTGCAAGTCTTCCAAGTCCTTGAAATTTACACTGTAACATCATTATGTATGTTCTCCATACTGTTTTCTATAAATTTCCTAAGGTACTTACAGAAGAATTTGTTTGATATCATTATGTATACCGCTATTTGCCATACTGTTTTCTATACATTTCCTAAAGCACTTACTGGGAAAATTTGTTTAACATCATTATGTATATTCTCCATGCTGTTTTCTATACATTTCCTAAGGTACTTACAGGAGAATTTGTTTAACATCATTATCTATATTTTTGCCATACAGTTTGCTATACATTTCTTAAAGTACTTACAGGAGAATTTATTTAACATCATTATGTATATTCTCCATTCTGTTTTCTATACATTTCCTAAGGTACTTACAGGAAGAATTTGTTCAACAATCAAGAGCTGCTTTAGTTTTTGATCATTTCCTGTATACCTGTCACCTTCATGTTTGATTCAGAGGTAATATTGTAGGAGAAATTACCAGGGGTAGATGCTAGTCACTCTTGGGGACTAAAGGGTTAATCATCTTTTCACATTATTTTGAAACCATCCTCTCAATAACTACTCGCCTTGAATGTCAAAAAAGTCTTTAAAAAGGTTAAGGAAAATATTGTATTGTACAATTTTGAGAGAGTATGAACCCTCCAGCAGTAGCATAATGAGTTTGTGTCACTCTTATTTTAATAACTCTTTCATTATTTCTTTTCATTTTACAATGAAATTTTTGATTTGATAACTTAAAACCTTAGAAGATCTTTAGAGTGCCAGTACTATACAAGTTTCATCATGAACACTGTCGCTGTTGCTTACATGTAACTCTGTTGCATACATTGTTTTACATGCAAGAGAGTCAATAGGAGTCCCAGTGTCTTAGTAGTTTTATTGTCTCTGTTGTCCAAGTGATTTGTCAACAAAGATCAAAAGGGCTACTCAGGTTCGTGGTATAGGATATATAACTCTTTCCTACCAAAAGCATGATTTCTCAGGATGATTTTTGTGGATTTATTTTTTTTCATAGACTTCTGTCCATCAGCAAGTTAAGATAAATTCCTGAATCATCATGTTATGAGATTGAGCAAATAGTTTCCATTTTTTAGGATTCATACAATAATTATCTTTCACATTTGTGGATGTGATTTCTTACATTTTATGAAAATATCCATCTGTGAATGGTTGGAACTAAAAATAAAGAGTTAAGTTGGTCAGCTTTTCCTTCAATATTTTCAAAATATATTTTCTTCTCATGTTTGAAGATGAGTTGGGTTGTTGATGTATTTGTTAAGGCTCATTGTTTGTATATCGTAGTTACATCTCTTGTTATACATTTTGTGTAATTTGAGGCTTGTTTTTGGTTAGATTTGTATAATCATACCAGATCATTATTTGCTCTAATGTGCTATTTCAGTTATTTCCATTATTTAATTCCATGTGGTGGCTCAATGGCTATGAAGGGGATTTTTTTTTTTGCATTTTTATATTCCATGTTTGAATTAGATCTACAGTAATTAGGTAAAGCATTTGTAAAGGAGATATTGAGCAACATTTTTAAGGTGATGTTACTTTTTTTTATTGTGGCCAATTGTTCTTTAATTTGACAATCAAAATAGAATTATTGCAACTTGAATGTTCTCTTTTACTGTGATTTACCTGAAAGGAAGCTTGTTTACCTTACTGTATTGAGCCATTTTATTTGTTGCTAACGTTAATATCCCTTAGGAATATACCAACTGTTTTCTTGATTCAGTCACTTAGTAATTTAAAAGATTTTCTCTACTGAACTTGTTAGTCCTTTTTCTAACCCTTATAATAGCAGAGCAGTAAGTTTTTACAGATTTAACACCAGGAGCTTCTTGCCTCTAGAGAGGACTTTGATTGCCTTGGTACAAAAATTGTAAGATTTATGGAAATTGTACATTTAATAGGTTGGTAAGATGCACATTTCTCAAGCAACATTAGCTATTATAGCTTATATTTAATAAAACATTTTGAGTCGTCACTGATCATGTCTACATGTTTGAGACTTGCTATTGTAATAAAGATCTAGTGCTCTCCTTAGTTTGATGATGGCCAACTTGCGCACATTCCTTGGTTGTTCATATTCTTACACTCTCTCAAGAGTGGCTGTGAGCTATCGGGACTGTCTAAAAAGTGGAAAAGGACTTGCAGAATGTGCTTAGGGAAACAGGATGTACATGGCATTTTAACACAAGAAAAAAAATTCAGTGAAGGGAGTTCATTCTTTCATTCAGTTCATTCTTTCATTCAGTTCATTCTTTCCTTTCTTGTATTTGTATTTCCTTTCTTGTATTTGTATTTCCTTTCTTGTATTTGTATTTCCTTTCTTGTATTTGTATTTCCTTTCTTGTATTATAGATTTGTAAGGTTTCGTGTGTTCATACATGAATGTATGTGAGTATGGTAGCTAGACCCTGCCCTTTGCTCGTCAGTGTCATTTATAACCTCTGTCTTTTGTAACAACCAGTTGGTCGTCTGCAGATCTCTCACAAATGGCAAGAATGATTATTACACTTGTGTGCCTGCTAATCAGCCTTTTTGACATTGTTTTTGAGTGAAATTCCCTATTAAGATTTTGACAGCCAAAAGAAATTTGACTCGCAAAAATCGTGTTGATTTAAGAAATTAAAGGTTCACGACATTTATATATGCACACTTACTTAAACAGCAAGGTCAACCATTTATGAGAGGTTCCCATCATTTTTTCATTCTTTTTGTTTAAAGATAAAAGTTGTACACCTACGTATTTGAACTCTTGAATTATCTCAGAACGGTTGGTCCAATTGTGGGTGGAAATCGAAGGCTATTCAGCTCACAAGACGCCCTGAAACATGCAATCTTTGTGTCCTGAACGATGGCCCTGTTTCTTAGGACAGGGTTTTCAGAGGGAAGACTGGGGATAACTTTGGAGGAGAGAAGTCGATGCAAATGGCGGTTCATCCGTCGCCTATACGAAGAAAAATTGGTTTATTGTTGATTGACTTGCAAAGCGCTTTCGTAAACGGTGCATGGAGGGCTTATTTACCTGACGAAGAAGTTGAACCAATCAAGAAAAGTTTTGAAAACTGTGCGAAACTTTTACGATCGGGTTTGAACAATGTTCCCCTACTGATGACCCGCTGTCCTTTTCCAGGTGGTGACTTTGAGCTTGATGACGGTTTGAATTCTGTAGTTGATAAAAATCAACGATATGTTATTAAACCCAGTACTTCTGTGATGGATGCTCGTGGTTTCAGAGAATGGGTCGAGGAAGAATTGCTGAAACAGGGAATAAACACTTTGGTAATGGGTGGCTGTACAACCACGAGTTGCGTGCGAGTCAGCTCGGTCCGAACTCAGAAGGCCTTTAGCCACAAAGGCCTTCAGGTTGTTGTTGATTTAGGCTTGTGTGGTGCGAGAAAAACAAACAGTATTCAAAGATGTCCCAGTTGTCTCAAGGTGTACATGGAATGTGGGGATTTTGAACCGTCACGCAATCGTCATTGCACATGTGGTGGTATTGATGTTAGAATGGCATCACCTGTCGATAAGGCTGTGCAGTGTATGCAAGAGGAGGGTGTTGAGGTGTTGGAAAGTTTTGACTGGAAGCCATACATGCATCAATCGCCTGTCACTCAGTGATTCAATAGTATTTGTATATCACCCATGGGATGTCAACAGGTCTCCCAAAAGTGGCCACTTTGTGCAGTTTTAATCAATTGCATGCTGGTAATTAATTGTCGAGTTTCCAATGGATAATCAGCAACCTTTTGCATGTGACCTTTTTATGCAGATGAAAAAAAAAGCGTGCATAATGACCTGAACAAAAATTGTCTCTAAAATTAACAATTTAAAATGTAACTGGTTTGAAATAAAATTTCAATTTCCCATAAAGCAGTCAGCTTCATACACGACTGTTTTCATGTAACAAAAGTGCTCATTGTAGTTTTACTGTCTACATCTGCAGGTTAGAGGTGTTTGATGGAAATGGTTTCACTTAATATTTTAAGTAGTAACATGAAACATTACAAAGCTAAACTATGTGAAGTCATGTAAGTAACTGAAAAATACATTTGCTGTTCAGCCAAAAAGACTAAAACACCGAACTATTTGGGTGACCACCATCAAAGTGCCAAATACTGAAATACAGAAGTATATTTTTATTAGAATACATCATCATCCCATGCCCCCCTTGATTTTAAAATTGGTCACTTGATCTCGGTTTTCCCTTACATTCTCAAAGACAGTGAAATATATACACAATTTCTCAAGAATATATTATTATCTTGAACCAAAGATGTTATTGCTTTTTAAGGAAGACAAAATTTACTTGATGTACTCTATGTGTGGAAAATGATTGTCGAATTTAGAGTCACATGGGAATCTAGACAAACTGCGCAAGATATCACTAGTAAGAAAATCTTCATGTGCCTTGGGTACACCCACATATCCAGAAGCGTTGACATACATGCTCCATTTATATTTGTAAATACATGCAAGTCAGAAAATCACATCATACTTGCCCCTTTAGTTTTCAAGTTGGTGGACCCATACCAGTTTTTCCCCCAAACTGAAAGATATCAAAATTGATGCAAATATGCACAATGAGGACAAAATCTTGTAGAAATAAAACATTCTTCTGAAAAGAAAACTTTTTTTAAATGAAGGCATAATTTACTTGATGTACATTACCCTCTCTTAGGAGAATGTTATCCAGATTAAGGCCCATGCAGGAGATATGAGAGACCATCCAAGAGATAAAGAATTTTTTTTGCAAGTGGAAGACTCCCAGATCAACCAGGAGAGTTGACCTAATACAAGTCAGAAAATTTCAGAAAATAGGTTTTACTCAGCTGGGGAGAACTATTGCACAATTAATGCAAATAGATGATTCATCCACATGACATTCACATGAAATCATCTCACTATTAAGTTATAGGGTTGAGTGGGGTTCAATTCAGAGAGGAGTTTAGTAAGTCATTTCAAATCAGCTGAAAACTCAAAGAATGAGCCAATTTGAAATAATAAGCACTATCAACACCTCTGAAAAGTACAACACAAACTCCTGTAAGTCCTGTTACTGACCAAGCATGTTGGTAACAAAGCTTAAGAAACAAATAATTAGATATTTGATAACTTCACAACTTCATATGTCAAAACACCTTTGTATGTCCTCTGTTCAGAGCTGGTTTGTGTTAACAATGTCTCATTGTGTTGTTAGTTTTCCAAATCACTTGTATTTGTTTGGAATACTTTGTAATGATTTTTACTCGTTAAAGATCTATTTTTTTCGTATACCAGGAATACAAGAAATACAGAAGAGCAGCTTTACTTCAAGTTGTTTTAATGTTGTATTTTTTAAAATTGGAGGCTATTCCGGAAACTGGGTTTGTGTGACAAGATGTGCTGTCACGCAATGAATTCTGCGCATTTTGTGGTGCGTCAGAAAAGACAAAAGCGTCCCATGATAATCACAAGACACACGGAAAGCGAGTAAATTATATCAAAAGCTTGGAAATCCCGGTTGTAGGACGAAATATCGGTTGAGACATGACTCGGTCGTTATCACGTGTAAAATTCTGGTTATTGGTTTTGTACGTGCCCCATGTGTTACACACAGTCCACAGTGCAGGAGGATCGAAGCTACCGAACATTTTGTTTTTGCTTGCTGATGATTTTGGCTGGTACGATGTCGGTTATCATAACCCCAAAATACAAACTCCCAACATCGATAAGCTGGCTAAGAGTGGAGTTATACTTGACAGTTATTACGTGCAGCCAATATGTACACCGACACGGGGAGCATTGATGACTGGAAGGTATCCAATACACACAGGTATTGTTGTCTTGTGCAGTGATGCTTCTCACTGATGTGATTTTATTTACATCATTCCTCGAGAGGAAATCCTTCATTTGACGCAATTTATGAAGTTAAAATACAGATATTCAAAAGCAGGCTGTAATTGCTCATGATCATTCCGAAGGACTCGCATCTACTTCCACCCCTTTTAAATGGCGTTACGCTGTTCAAATCCTGTCCATGTCAACACCATATTGTTTGACACAAAAAAATGTTACCCTAAGATATCGCGAATCTAATGAGCTTCTGTGAATTTCGCAGTTTTTTTGCGATTGCTAATCAAGGACCCAAAACATCTTTGATTTATTTTCTGCTAGGTCTGCAACATGATGTTATTCATCCGGAAAACCCCTATGGATTGCCCCTGGACTTCGACTTGTTGCCACAGAAACTGAAACAGGCTGGTAGGTATTGGAAACGTTTCATGGATTTTTAAATTGGGGTCTTCTGTTGCACTGGAAGAGACGATATTGGAAAAAAGATTGATTCAATTTCTCAATTGCAGATACTAAAAAAAAAAAAAAAAAGTTCCTCCCTTGGTTTTCGTGTAATTAAAAATTTCTTTCCATTTCCTCTTTCTTTTATCAGGCTATGCCACTCATTTGGTTGGCAAGTGGCATCTTGGTTTCTACAAATGGCCTTATGTTCCAACCAAACGAGGTTTTGACTCCGCTTATGGATTCTGGGACGGTTCTGAAGATCATTTTGACCATAGTCGCCTGGGAATTGTTGACTTTCGTGACAATTTGGATGTAGTAAAGAATTTGAACGGCACCTACGCCACAAACGCTTACGTCTCTGTAAGAGGAGGATTGTTGGGGTGTTTACATTATTGTATCTCATAAGTATCTTTTAATTTCATTCATTCGCTCGGCCTCAATAGTTTTTAAGCCATAAACTCTACCAATGGTAAACGAGTTTTTATATATCATTTTATTTCACCCTGTTTTTATTTCAGGTGCACGTTTACCTAAGATAGCCTAGGTCAAAAAGGAAATCGAACGCACTTTAAACGCGCGTGAAGGAGTTACACGGTGCACGGGCTTCCTAAGATAAATTATACACTGAAGAAATTTTATCATTTTGCTCACCTTGAGACAGTGTAAGTCGTCACGCGTAGTTTAGATCTACTAGAGCTGTTCGTGAATAAAAGCGAGGACGAACGCCGGAAGAAACTTTAATGGCTGCTTTAATGCGTCTGTTGAGCTCTGCTGTCACCATCAACAAACCATATCTAGGGTTCAGCTCACTTAAGCTACTATAAGGTCAGCTAAACGTTCCTTTCATGTCCCTGTAATGTATGTAACCACTGGGAGAAGTTAGACTTGGAAATCTAAGGCATGTTTTCTTTTCTCACAGCAAGTGAAAAAGGTGTTACAGGACCACAATTCATCGCAACCGTTATTCATGTACATGGCCTTCCAAAATGTTCACGCACCTATCCAGGCTCCAGAGAAGTACATAGAGAAGTACGAATTTATAGAGAATAGAATGAGGAGAGTTCACGCTGCTATGGCAGATATCATGGATGAGGCTGTCGGCAACATAACAGAAGCTTTTAAAGAAGCAGGGTTAGTAGTATGACGATGCATTATCAAAAAAATTCCAATTCTTTGGCACCTCAAAAGACCCTTTAACAAGCCTGGAAAAAAAGCGACGTTTAACATGAGACATACCCTAAAAAGGTATTTTTAAATTATCCAGCCGGTATCTATTTCTCGTTTTTTTTTCAGATTGTGGGAGAATACCCTTCTTATATTCAGCACTGACAACGGAGGTTTACCTTTTTACGGAGGTTACAATTGGCCTCTTCGAGGAGAAAAAATGACGCTCTGGGAGGGAGGGGTAAGAGGAGTTGGATTTGTTCACGGAAATCAGCTAGCGAGGAAGGGAGTTACGTGTAATGAATTATTGCATGTGACGGACTGGTACCCAACAATTCTTGGATTGGCCGGTAAGGAATATTACATAATTAGCAAAGACTATCTTCATTTTCATTGTAAATAATAACCGATGCTAGTTTCGATGAACTTTAAAAAGTCTCTCTCGATTTTAATGATTTCTTCCGAGGAAGATCTAATTTTCTATTAACGCATTGTAAACCGCTAAGAGTGGCGAGAACCTAATTTCTCCCAACTGTGTGACACCTGAATCAAACATTAAGGTCTTGAGAATAAAGAAAGAGGCTCTTGATTGTAAGTTAAGTTCGACAGGAAACGTGTAGAGAGCACATTGCATATTGGTGTTAGGATGTAAAGGGTTAAGAAAGGAGAAATAATAAGGAAACAACAAATTGAGGTTGCTGATTTTGTTGGAGTGACCAAGTGCATTCCTGGCAAAGTGATAGTTTTTCAGTCCAGCTTTTTGGGAATGAGATTGTTTTCTTTGTTAGTTTATTTTTTTCGGGGAAGGTATTGAAAAATTACTTTCATCTTAAGGTGTGACATCAGTAGACAAAAGTCCTATTCCACTGGACGGCCATGACGTATGGGACACGATTTCGATGGGGAAGCCTTCTCCACGCACTGAGATATTACTAAACATTGATCAACCTGGCTCAGTTCCTCCAGGGCCTGGTGTCCTGGGTGGTTATACGGGGATCGCACTCAGGACCGGTGATATGAAGTTGCTGATGAATGTGCCTAATGTCACGTGGTTTAAACCGCCAGAGATTGGTGGAAAAGTGGAAAAAGAAATACCTCTAGACGCGGTGTTTGAAAACCCAGACATGGTAAAGTGACCAGTACGCCATATTTATTTTGAGTGATAGAAAGAATTAGAATCAGTTGGAGATATCACCCCTCAGGTCCAACTTGGATCTCAGATACATCTTTCATTACTACGATGCTTTTGTTCTTGTAGACGGGAAATGTCGCATACATCTGATTGAGCACAAAGTATGCGAATCATGTTTTTTTGGGAACTATTTGGATCGATTCGAGGTTTTGATTTTACAACTAGAAAAGGTCACTTACACTCACAGACTATGCACGGCATGGA